TAGTAACTGTGTAAAGAATCCCAAGTAACTGCTTCCTTTGCCAGAGCCAGCTTTCCTGGATGGTCTAGGGAAAGACCTTTTCTTACTTTTCTCCAGTTCCACCTGTCATACTAGTCACCCCTTAAAAGCATGAATAGAATCAACTGTCTAAAAGACTGCCAAACAGATGCAATAGTTTGTCCTGTAACTACTTTAACAAAATAATGTACAGTAATAAGATCCTTGTGATTACAGTTTCAAGCTCTCCAATCCTGTGCTGCAAACTTACTTTATATTTTATTACAATCAAATAATAAATCATTGATTTACAGTTTCTATCTGTTTATGTACAGTGCAAGCAGAATATGACTTGGAAGAGATTAATGGAGGGAAAAAAAAAAAAAAAAAAAAATCACAACCAAAGGTGCAAAGAGCATTCTCAATAAGCCAGGTGAGCAACAAACGTGGTTGTTTGAGAATATTTATGACAGCGGCAACAGTGTAACATCACTGAAGCATGCACAATGGAAGCAAGCTTTTTAGAAACTGTATCTACAAAAGAGACATACAGTTAGGGCTAACTATCAATCATCTGGACATGTGAATAAATCTGTAGTCAGTGGTCCATGTTCTGTTAACATCAACTTCTACCATACAAAAACTTGCTGGCCAGTAAACAAGCCATAAGACCACAGAAGCTAAAATATGTTACATATACTATCACAGTAATGATATCTCAACTACTAGACCAGCATAGGTCTGAATATTTAAATCTTACTGAGAGTAAAGTGTGTTTACAATGACTGGTTATATTCTCTGGTTAAGTTATATAGTTTTAAGATCCCATCACACTGAAATAATCAGATTTTTGTGTGTTTGCTTGTGTTTTTATTTCATTTTATAATTCACATTCTTTAAATCAGTGGTTACTGATCCACAAGAGCACATCTGTATAGACTATTTAAGTCTCCTTTCCCCTGGAAGTGTGTGTATATTCCCATTAATGCTAATGGGCATAAAGCACACGCATTGAGGAGAAAATAGACCCCTCACTGTGAAAATAAATGTGTTCAGTTATTTTCAGACACGATGCCAAAATCAAACAACTAAAAGTACATACTCTAAGGAGATAACATTATATAACCTAACTGAAAATGTCAGCATTAGTTTTAACTCCCTGGTCATGGACCCTGACATGTTCTTCATGTTTCTGCCGTTTTTTGGTGTCATAAACACTATCACCGGATAACATATCAAAAAGGCCCAAATCCTAAATTCTTACAGAAGCAAAACAGCCCTGATCTCATGCTCCTTGCCTTCAAAAGGATGCAAGGTTAGGCCTTGTATCTTAGGTTTTCACTTAGACCATATAATGTTTTCTCTTTACACCTTATAGATTATTAGCAGCAGTAAACTTTAATGTTCTCTAGAATAGTTCCTTAAAACTGCAATGAATCTAGTGAAGTAAAGATTCCTATCACTTAAATTTTTTCCTTAATAATTTGATATCCTGGTGTTTTCTGCTCTGATCAAAATTCAGAGAGTCAATTCTATCTGTTCAAACAGGTAAGAAAAATTGCTTATATAGTAATGTGAAATTCAAAGACAAATATAGTACAAATATACTCCCAATTTTTTCTGATGGAACCAACATTTTATGAATTTACAGCTGATCTAATATGATATTTGGAAGAATCATGAGAAGAGAAAGGTTTTAAAAAGGGTGCAGTTATAAGTGGAGCATTAATGTTTTTGGTGAGTGCATTTAGGGTCTTTGTAAAGTGGCCTGCTGACTTTCTAATGTGAATTATCACACCTGTCCTCCCAAATCAGAAATGCACCTTCAAATAAGTGGATGTTACTGAGTTATCACTCAGACAGGGATGAGTTATTCCAGTGACGAGGCCTTTTCAAAAGTTGATGCTGTAGGAGATGGGTAGAGGGCTATTGCTGAAAGGCCAACTGTCACAGCTTTGTGGCAGGCTTTGCAATGCTGCTGGGTCAAAGGAAACCTAGGTGCTGCCTGCTCCGTCCCTTGCACCCAGAATCACAGAATCATCCAGGTTGGTTGGAAAAGACCTTGAAGATCACCCAGTCCAACCATTAACCTAGCACTGACAGTTCCCAACTACACCATATCCCTCAGCGCTATGTTGACCCGACTCTTTAATACCTCCAGGGATGGGGACTCCACCACCTCCCTGGGCAGCCCATTCCAACGCCTAACAACCCCTTCTGGAAAGAAATGCTTCCTAATATCCCGCCTAAACCTTCCCTGGTTCTACTTGAGACCATTACCTCTTGTCCTATCACTTGTTACTTGGTTAAAGAGACTCATCCCCAGCTCTCTGCACCCTCCTTTCAGGTAGCTGTAGAGGGTGATGAGGTCTCCCCTCAGCCTCCTCTTCTCCAGACTAAACACCCCCAGTTCCCTCAGCCGCTCCCCGTACGACCTGTGCTCCAGACCCTGCACCAGCTCCGTTGCCCTTCTCTGGACACGCTCGAGTCATTCAATGTCCTTTTTGTAGTGAGGGGCCCAAAACTGAACACAGGAATCGAGGGGCAGCCTCACCAGTGTCGAGTACAGGGGTCAGATCCCTTCCCTGTCCCTGCTGGCCACGCTATTGCTGACACAAGCCAGGATGCCATTGGCCTTCTTGGCCACCTGGGCACACTGCTGGCTCCTGTTCAGCCACCTGTCAATCAACACCACCCAGCTGCAGGCTCACTCACCTACTGTCACACTGAGTCAGTTCATGGAGAAAAACACCCCAAGGAAAACAAAACAAAACAATAGATCAATACTTCTCTGCTGATCAATGTGGGTGGTGACAAGCACTGCTACTGGCACAGAAACTGGGCAGGGAGGGATATGGGTGGGGATGGCTGTCTGGCAGGGGGAAATGGACTGTCCCTTTGAAACTGTCAGAACAGCCCCATCATATCCCACAATCCAACCCCCCAAAAAAGGACAGTCAAAGGAGGACCCCAGCTGAGCCAAGGAACAGCTGGTGTCTGCACACTGAAGTAGAGTGCCTTAAAGGCTGCCATGTTTTTGTCAGACACTTCCAAAAGTGCATGTGTATGCTGTAAACCCCCCGTGCATCACGCCTGAGGACAGATAAGCACAGAATAACTCATCTGAGAGCTCTTTATGGACTGGCACAGGGGGTTAATGACTGAATAGGCTGCTGCAGAATATATGAGCACCTTTTTTTTTTTTTTTTAAACCAGAAAAAGCCCCTAACAACACAGCAGTCCTGGTAGTATCTGAAGCTGTTGCAGTCCAGCCCACCTCTCCTAAATCTGGTACAGGAATTGCTGTAGAGACTGATACTGCCAAAGTGAACCAGGCAACAAATTAATGAGCTCCTTCATTCATTACGGAGAAGGGGTGGCAATGGCCCATGACCTGTCAGCAGCCACATGCATGGGCATCCATCTGTCTGCGTAAGTGTGTATGGAGCTGAGCTGGAGATGCTGAGGCTCTGCATGGGCACGGCCATGCAACATCCGTGAAGTAGAACACTTTATGTAACGCTGATCTGGACTCACACAAATAAATACTGTTGAATGACTTTCTTTCCTTTTTCCTTTTCAAGTAATGGAAGCCTGTCTTTCTTTTTGTTCTGAGTGTATCACTGACTCATTTTACAAGTTGAAGTCTGATTATGCAGAGGAAAGGCCAAAACCTTAAATATTACTTCTTCTGCATAGAACACTAAATCTATTTTCTCCTGGGTGAGCTTGCAGGGATAAACAATCCTATGAATGATTTGGTGTATGATATGCAAAAAAAGAGACATTTCTACAGCCTGTCTAGACTCCTAGACAAGATCAGACTGCGCTGTCATCAAAGACATTTCCACGGCCTGTCGTATCACTTCGAAGACAGAAAAACCACCTCTTCAGAACAGTAATGCAAAAATGAAAAATAAATAAAAACAGCCTGACCTGCCAGTGTCATAGTGGAAATCTGAACACAGTAACCTCAGACAATTTAGAAATTATGCTAACAATACAGCCAGAAGTTTCAGCAAATATTTGTGAGGAAAGGCAACTCCTGCACAAGTGAATGCAATCCAAAAACATGAGTCATGCACAAGCAATTTTGCTATGGGCCATAAAATCACTTTATGAGAGTTACAGATAATTCTGTATGTATTCTATAATGTTTCCCTACTGTGTAGAGATGGATATCTCAGTATCCTATCACAGATAATGATGGAAAACAAATTCTCTACATAAAAGCTGATTGCTCAGAGATTCACCCTTAACTGTTCCAAGGGATTGTAACGCTGACAGAACACTTTATACCATATTCATCAACAAAGAGGTAGACTCCATCAGTGCCAAATACACTGCAGTTTAGATGTTTTTTATGAAATGTGGCAGGGTGAATTGAGAGCAGCCTTAGACACAGAACACGCATCCTGCTATTTCTCAGCACCTACCTACTCTTTATCACGCATGCACCTACCATCCTCCACAATGACACCTCTCATTTCCTCCTGTTAGTACTTTTGCACATATTCAGACATATTCAGCATTCTTCAGTATTAAAAAAAGCAGCTGTATTCTGTACATGTCATGCTGAGAAAAATCTACAGCATCAAGCCAGTCATGAAGTAAGAGATACTGGAGTATAAAAGGTGAACCCTTCAGGACCAACTTCAGAACGACACAGTTGCTTTTTGCACCTCTATTTTCCTGTTTTGTTCCTTTGTAACGTTTTCCAACTGTACCCATAGAACCATTGAAAAAAAGTTCTATAAAACACTGAAAACTTTCAAAAAATACTTCTCTCATGAGACTTTACCTAGTTAACTCTCTTGCAAGGTAGCTTTATGACTAACACACTGTTGGCAACCCAAAATCAACAGGGAGTCCACTGGAAGAAATCTGACTTATTCTTTGGAGGTGCCCTACTCATGTGTTACGATACGTGAGCTTTTATCAAGCTTGGATGTGACGTTCTCCAGGATCTGAGCTTTAAAAAAACCCCAAAACAATAATAATACCTCTCCAACGTCATAAATCCATATGCGGCCTTCTGAATCACCAACTGCTACCTCCTTCCCAGCCTGGGCCCAGCGGACACGGTTGAGGGCAGAAGCTCCTTCTATAGTGACACTGGCTGTGGGAACCTGTTGAAACAATAGGAACAGAAAGGACAATAAAACCATGTTGCCTGCAAACCTGAGGGTCTGTTTTGAATGTTCTGCTTAGCCGGATGAGTCACAAGTCCCTTGGCGTTGCTGGAAGTAACATGCAATCCTTGTCAGGGGGAGAAAAAAAAAGGGTTCATTGTTTCCTCGGTCACATGTGCTAAAAAGAGGAAAGAGCAAGAGACTGCTTGGAATGAGCAAGGAAGACTTTTCTACAGTAAAGGGCAGTAAATAAAACAGTTTTTTCCCCTTAACCTTGGAGACATGTGAAACCACATCTGCTTCTTTCTCAAAAGTCCCTGACTTAGGACCAAGAACCAGCTAAGGGTAGGACTTGGCTTCAGCCCTATCCTAGCTTCTGGGCTCTGACTCAGGCCCAGATAACCCAACAGTTGGCAGACACATCCCAATATTCATGCTGACATATCCTTTAAGTCCATACACACCTCTGCAGCTAGATACAGAGGTCAAAACTTAAGTATTACGTCAGAAAAGTCCTGAGCTAATCACTTCAGAGCGAGGGCACATCAGAAGTGAGAAAAGCTGAGCTGACATTTACAGACTCCTACAATATATTCCCACAATTCTCTTCTACATCCCCAGGAGACGGCTTCTGCTTTAAATACACCTGGATGCTGCCTAATTTCCAACCCCTCTCCCCACCCCAAGTCAACCAATTTAACAGGTGATCCACAAAACTACATAAAGATTCTGGTTACTGTGTGGGATGAATAAAGCAATGAACATGATTTTAGAAGAAGTATTTGCAATCTATGCTGGAATGAGGGCATCAAAAGATGCTGCAGGAGGACGGAACTGTGTGGGTGTTTGCCCCAGATAGGTAGATCATGCAGTTGATGTAGGTCACCTCATAAGACAAATGACAGTAACCTGCAACCCTGCTAATGCTCCACCCAGCTGCCTTTAATAGGAGAACCTGCCTGAGCAAGGAGCCTGCAGCTTGGCATGACAGTCTTCCAAACAAGGCTTTTTAGCTTTAATGCTTTTTAGGTCAGAGCAAATGGAATAGGACAGCTGCAAAAGCAACTCCTCCACTAGGTCTACCTGTGGGAACAAGTCACAGTCACACAGTGAGATGGGGACAAGAGGGTGTTGTGGGATCTATAAATGCACATGGAATGGGAGGGCAGTCCAGGCAAAAGGTAGTTGGGCAGGAACCAGACTCCAGGCTACCTCTGGAGGAGTGACAGGTACTCCTGTCATTGTCAGCACAATGCAGCAGAAGCAGGAAGAAAGCAGCTTGAAGGTGGTACTAAAGCCTGGTCTGAACATTGAGAAACTGGCAAGATTAACAAAACCTGTGTTTTGCTGACTTTATCTTGGTTCTCTGGCTGTAGTTTTACATTGTAGTTGATCCAGAAGAAAAATAATTCTCAAACAAACATGGTATAGCTCCCATGCCAATCTCCTCCTCCTCAGCTCTAACGCCTTCATTGTGTCACATAAGATGAGTGGTGGTAGGAAGCTGAACCTTTGCAGACTTCCCAAGACTCTCATTACAGTTACAGTGCATGTGCAGCCACGCCAGCAGCAGGACAAGGACTGGGAAGCAGGGCTGCCTGCCTTGTCCTTCTCCCCCTGGAGACTCCCTGCTCCTCCTCCTCCATGACCCTGACACAAGGCTGCAAAACCAAACTGGCACCTGGAGCACAAGCCTGCCACGCTAAAGCGTCATCTCTGCAAAGGACTCCACCGTAGCGTCCCGAGCCCCACATGTGAAATACAACAGGATTTTGTTCCAGAACAATGTAGAAATAATGCTGGATAGCAATCAGAAAACAGATACCATCATTCCTCCCCCCCCCGCTTTAAGAAGCCATTCAAATGCAAATAAGCTACTGGACTCATCTCCCCATTGTGCTAGATCCAGGTCCTGTCCAAGGCAGTATTGCCCAAAAAAGCTGGCACACTCTAACAACTCCTCCCAAGTCAATTACTGCTTAGTGGGCATGAATCAGTGGCCTAAACCTGACATGGGGTCATTGATCCATGATAAAATCACAGTAGAGAAGTTTTATTCCTGTAACCACCAATTTCTAAAAATTTTTTTTTTTAAAAAAGCTATTTTAATTCCAGTCAAAAATAATTTCATAACATTTGGAAATGGGTTTCTTCAAACAACAACTAAATGCCACATTTTAGAGGACTAATCCACTAACCAGCTATGTTTCTCAGAAAACTGGAGATCAAAGATTATTTGTTTCATATACAAATATACACAGTGTATATTTAAGGCACTAAATTTTCACAAAATCCTTCAGAAGGCTGAAATACATAACTCTAACACTGGGGTGGTTTTTTTTTTTGTTAGTACAGCATTCTTTCATTGTTCCACATAAAAATAAGCAGCATGCACACTGCAGACACAAGACACAACCCATGCTTTTTTTCAAAACCCGACAGTTTTGTAAAATCCTTACTACTCCACAAAGCTATCTAACAAAATAAAAAGCAATAATGAAACGTCTTTAAAAATCTAAAGAGAAAGCTTTTCTCCAGTTATAGGGAGAGAAATATAGTCAAACCGTAGTATCTTAAAATAGATTTGTCTGCTCTCAGTAGTGATAGGTTAAATTACACATGCCTATTTTAGATTTCAAAGATAAGAGTTTATTTTATAATGGCAGCATTATGTTTTTAAAATCACATTTGAAATACTTTATAAATTCTCCAAAGTTGGTCCTTGTCAGATTTTTAACAATTTTGAAATGAGATTTTAACAGGTAACGGATGAAGAAAGATGCAGTCAGAAAAACTTGCATGATAAGAATATACTTTTTATTTTTTTACTTTTATAGCTTACGTAGTGTCAAAATTTGCTTGCAAATATGTCTGTTATCTCTTTCTAGAAACAGACACCATCTTCACACTTTCAAAGCTAAGGTACAGCATGCAAAAAAAACCAACAAACATTTGAATGAGATATAACACAGCAGAAATAAGCAGTTTTGTTAAGTCAGTTTAGTACTAGTTCATAGACAAGCAAGACTCATCAACAACCTAGACCTTCTCCAAATTTGATCAAAAAAGAAATGTTACAAACATAGGTAAGAAATCGGCATTTGGTATATTGAAACTATCTGCAAACCTCACTATAGTGATCCATAAAAATAATACTCAGTTTGCAAAAAAAATGAAGGAGTGGGTAAGGATGTTTTGCTTATTAAGGTTTTTTAATATTCATTTATCAAATATAAAATAAAACATGATGACTTTCCTTGCTTGTACAAAAACAATTTCTGATATCCACAGATCAGCATGAAGCACAGAAATACCCTTGCTAATTTACACTGAGATTTTGAGAATAATTAGATTGATTAAATCTGTGGGACAGTCAAATGATTTTTGTTATTTTGATCACAAAGCACCTAGCTCTCAGGAGAAATGTTTTTAATAAATATGGGGAGTAACACTAGTGGAAACTGTTGCAGTTCAGAAATTTGAAGGTAGCATATTGTAACTAAACCGAGGTATTTTCTTAATTGGTTTACAAAATAATACCTAAATAATAATGTGGCTTATTTCCCAAATTAAACATAACCAGGTCTCATTAATTAATAACAATCATATCTAGTTCTTACAGAGAGATTTTTATCAATAGCTAGCAGTTAAAACACATTGATATACCTGTCATTTTGTACTGTCTTCACAAATACTTTGACATCACATACCTGACATCTAAAAAATAGGTGTTTCAAGATTTCTTATTACACAGAAAGAAGTGCTGACAAGACTTTTCTTAGCAAATAGCAGTGCAAACTTAAACGGCAGAATCAATTACAGAAGTCTTGAAAATTATAAACTAATTATGACCTACCACATAGAGGGTAAAAGCAAATACTGATCACTTTCAGTTACGATGTTTAGAAGAGCTGCTTACAATTCCCTCTTTAAGTGGTACTTTTGCTGCTTCTCCCATATAACAAAACCTCACATCTATTCAGAATCTGCCGGTTTATCATTTATATGGATTTAAAAATTTGTTTCATCAGTGCTCAGTAAGGAAACCAAATGGTGTTTCTGCCTCCAGAGACCCAAATTCGATTTTCATAAAAATACAAAGCTCAGATACCACAGAAATAGTTCCAGTCTGATCCTTACATGAGAGCTGGTTTTGACCTCTCAGAATGGGAATCATTTGTGAAATCAGGGGTGGCCTTGAATGCAGAAGAAAAGCAGGATCAAGCTTGATTTTTTTTTTCCTGATGTTCCTATATATTTATATGTAAACACACTGAAAATGTATCTGCAGTTTTCTACATACAGCCTTATTATTGATGGGAATGGGATCAAGCGGTCCATACTAATTTTTTGGAAAGAAATTTGGTCTCATTGAGCTAAATGGCAAAACATCAGTTGATTTCAAGCAGAGCGGGATTTCAGCCCTGGTATTTGGGGGGAAAGGGTTATTTTTTTTTTTCTTCTTAAAATGCTGGGGTTTATGCTCTGTGTTTAAGCCTGCATTAATGAGAACACCTGAAGGATATGTCCCTCCCTTCCCAAAATAAATTCCGAGGAGACTCCTCCTGTATATCCTCCAGCTGTATGTGCTCTAATTAAAAAGGCTGCGCTGCTTCCTGCTCAGAGCACTTCAAAAGGCCTCACTGCTCCCCCTGACAATGCAGTGCCCGGTGCTGGTTCCTCTTACCTGTCCATGCTTATTTATGGCAAGCACCACTCACTAGAAGCCATAAACTGTGCCCGTATTTTACTCTGTCTGAAATGTACAGCATGTTTATGTGAAAGGTGTATTAATGATCAAACTAATGTTAAAAAAAAAAAAAAAGTAAAAGGATGTGTGGGGGGAAATACTGCCACTTGCCCTTTGGTCTTGTCTTTTTTGGAAATAAAAAGAAACTGTCAGTTTTGGTTGGGTTTTTTTTTTTTTTTCAGTCTGTATATTCCTAATTTTACATGGCACTAAGTAAAAATACACAAGATTTCAGTTGTAGACAAATATTTCAATTCTCATGCTGAATACTGATTGCTGGACATCCAAGACTGACCTCAAGCAATAC